GATGATCCATCCATTACGTTTCCCATGTTACATTTAGCAGTTATTCTGTACAATCTACACCGTGACGAGGAAGCAGAAAGACTCGCTCTGGAAGTTTTACGTATACGTGAGAAGGCATTTGGAAAGGAATCTTTACCAGTTGGTAAGCCATTAGTAACTCTATACTGTTGATTGAGTAGCCTGGATTACCGCAAAACTGCATTTCTCATCACACAACACTCAGCACTTTTAGTCCACGACATTAGAAATAGCACTTTTGGTCCATCTTTTCATTTTTTTTTTGCACATTCGTCATTTCCCCTTTTTTCCATCCAAGTTGGGTCGGAAGTGCAGAACACATACAGTCTTGTGCAACTTTCAGAGAAACAACAGAGATTGTCCTATGTCCCATGGACATAAGTGCCAAAAAAAAAAAACAGAAGTGTTTTTTTTAAAGTGCGGGACTATAGTGTTGAAAATTCAGTCCTGAGACTGGAAATGCATGTTGCCCCCGTATTATACTTCTTAATGCTTACCCTTTGGGTTAATAAAATTTCGAATTAGATTCTATCGATGGCCTTATATTTCTTGACATTTTTAGTTTCATGAACTGATTTTAACAGGGGAGGCTCTTGATTGTTTGGTGTCCATTCAGTCCCGACTAGAGAAGGACGACACTGAGTTGGTAGAGTTGCTGAAGAAAATTTTAAAAATTCAGGACAAATCTTTTGGCCCCGAAAGTGAGGAGGTTATGGAAACTCTAAAGAAAATTGTACATTATTTGGACAAAATGGGGATGAAAAATGAGAAATATCCTCTTCAGAGAAGACTGTCTGTGCTGAAAAATAAACGCAAACAGATGGTTATGTATTAGCAGCTGAATTCTAGAGTTTCTCCAACTTGATGCTTTGAACAAGCTCTAGAGGTGGCACGACATGACCAACCAACTGATGTAAAACGGATTGATGGTTGAGGTATTGAGCAATTTAAATTTATTTATTTGTTAATACTCTTTCTAGCTTGCTTTTCTTTTCAGAATTAAAATACCGCCCCATAATCTTGAAAAGCAATTAATATTCTAAATGCAAAACTACCAGAATTTGGGAATGTGACACTTTAAAAGTGCATGTACAAAGACGAAACATGGAGAGTAAATTACGAAATAGCCTGAAAGTAAAAAATAGTACAGTTTTCCGTAGATAGATTCTCACACAACTTAGGGTCCATATGGATTTGTGTTGGTTCGGTCCTCGTTTTTGGTTTCAGAAATATTTTTTAGTGGTTTCAGCGAAACCTTTGGAACAATTGGATTGAGTTTGGATGTAGAGTTTGAGGTGAAAAATAGGTAGTGTAGGTGTCATAATTTTGTAAGTGAATTTCTTTTTGGGTTTGGATAGGGTCGGACTTGGGTTTGGGTCGTTTCTGGAGTGGACTCAATCATTATCGATTTTGGTCCATTTCTATGTTTCCTTTTACTTCGACTTACACATTGTTCTGTTGATAGAAAAATGTGAGACTTCTCGTCCTGTTCCCCGTAAGTACTATTTTAATTAACTCAACCCGAGTTGCTTTACCAAATAAGTAAAAGTGCATCCATATGTCAACTATTCTCCATATGTTTCATTTAATTCTAGATTTTTTTTTACATTTCAAGATAAGCATTTATTTGATCTTTTTGCCCTGCCAAAATAAACCGTTTCTCACTCGTATTTACAGGACGCTAATAATGAAGACGTATGATGATATTTACAGGGCTATGATGATATATAACGGTCCAAACGTCAGATTCGTAGGTAGGAGAACCTTACCGGCTTACAGCAGTTTATGTTGTGTTAAATTCTCCTATAATTGGGACAAATTTTTGTAGTTATATAGTTTAAATCTTGTAGCATGTGTGGGAAATTTGTAGTGTCAAAAAATAAAAAAATAAAAAAATAAAAAAAGATCATATGTTTTGGAAGAACAATCTTTTTGGTTTCAGTTAAAATTATTTTGAAAAATGAATGCTGGTCGTCTTTTCAGGATACTATACTGTAGTGGCTTCAAGGCCATCACACTAAGTTGACTTGAGACCTGACCCGACCCGGATTGGGTCCAAATTAAATCACCCCGTCCTGATCCGAGCCTACCGGAGTTGTATTTTTATGTATGTATGTATGTACATATGTACGTATATGATCAGTATATGCATTGGATATACTGAGTTAACTGGATTTGTGTGAGCTCAAGATTTCAGATTTAAGAAACAATTTTATTAGGATATTATTGAACTCCACCCAAATATTATTGGAACTCAAGATAAAATTTCAAAAAGGAAAAAAGCATTATTTCTACTGAGTTTTTTAAGTATGAAACTAGTCATAATTAGTAGTGCTGAAAATCCTAATAAAATTGATATTTTTGTCATGTTATTTGATATTCGACACGAGCTCGTTCGATAAAAGTTCGTTTGAGAACTGTTCGTCAAACAAATCAAATAAACTTGAACAAGATTTCTCGTTTGATAATTTTTGTAGTTCGACTTGATAAGCTAAAAATTGAAAAAACACATGTAAAATATCAAGTTACTCGATACTCGGCTAGAGCTCGTTCGATAAAAGTTTGTTTGAGCTCGGCTCGTTAAGAAATCAAACCAAGCTCAAACTCAATTTCAAATTCAATAAAATTAAAACTAAGCTTAAACAATGTGTCGTTCGATACTACTTGGCTCGTTGGCTCGTTGACAACCCTATTTATAGTAAAAATTTGAACTTCTAGACAAGCAATTTTACTTTATTACTATTGTATGAAATGTGAAAAAGGTTTGTCAATTTTGATATGAAATGTGTCATTTTGAAAGGTATGGTACGAAATATATAAAGATGGCAAAAGTTTGGTATGAAAAATGCAATTCCCTCCTATTGTATTCTGGTTTTGTTTTGTGTTTGAATTTAGTTCATGAGACTTGTTAATCGGGACTTCCTCAGGTCTCGCTTTATGGTCCCTTTGAAAACAATTAGTTTTGTATATTAAAAATGATTACATTGTTTTATTAAAGTTTGTGATTGTGTGGTCTAATGGTGTTGTTTCTTCTTAAGTACTTTTGAGGTCTGGAGTTCGATTCCCTTAGGGCCTGTTTGTTTGGCCTTTCCCAAAAAGTTTTCGTGTTTGGAAAATGCCAAACAAATATATTTTCGATTTTCTGAAATAAAATTTTCACCTTTCAATTTTCTCAAAAATCTCTCTCAAAATCCAAACAAACAACAATTTTCTTATCTCTAAACAAATCATATACAAACTCTATTCTAATTTGACATAAAGTAACATATCTCTTACACATTTATCTCACAACAAACATGATTTGACATAAAGTCTTACACATCTTACACCTACAGCCCAACTCTTCCAAAAAAAACCTATACCTACTTTATTTCTCAAATCACTCTCTCAAAACCCAAACAAACAGCATTACGCAAATCGAGATTATTTCACAAACCTCTTCTACTCTCCCAAACTACTTTCCGAAATACCAAACAAACAGGCCTTTAAGCTTTCCACGTATTCCTTTATCAATTTTGTAGAATACTTTTTTGTTTAAGTTGATTTTGTATTCCTTCTACAAAAATTGGGACAAAGGGAGTATTTAACTATTTCATTAGCATATGAGAGCTTTTGGTCTAATGGTTATGTTCTTTCTAAATGAGTATGTACATGAACCCAAGGTCAAGTCCTAAAATAAAATGTTCCTTTTTTTTTTTAAATCAATGTTGTGGAATTTAATTTATTTTAGATATTATATTATCGACACTTATATATATATATATATATATATATATATATATATATATATATATATTTAATTGGACTATAACTATTTAATGCACAATTTATTAGTTTATCTTGATTAGTTCTTGTCATGTTACAAAACATCAAACAAAATATTAAGGTCGCTACCAACCACCCCCCTCTCCTAATAAAATGCTCTAGCTTCGGCCTTGATTATAGATTAATTAATAGTATAAAATTATACAAATACGAGGGGTTGAATTCTTGTCCAACTTGATGATTATGTATCAGCAGCTGAATTCTAGAGTCTCATCCAAGTCTAATGCAAAAAAAAAAGAAAAAGGTCGGTTTGGCTCTGGGTTTGATTCGAGTATGGGTCAGATCAGGTCGAGTCCAAACTTATTGCTTCCATGGTGAGTTATTTTCTAATTGAGGTATTGAGTGCACTTGCCTTCCAAGCAAGTCACTCACTTCTGTGTATCGACTATCTCAGTCACGCTCGTGGACTCCAGCGTCCTTGAGTTTATCGGAGTATACACATCAGTGAGAGTCTAACCGAATCCAATGATGTCTTATCTCAAATTGATTCAACGACTCTTGAATATGCTTTAGATCACGGCCTTGGAGATCAATCCATGGGTTGTCCCAGAGCCTGTGATCTAAGGACTTCTATCCTTATGCTTAGATAATTATTAAATAAGATAGAGTTGCCATTTATTAATAAGGTACATTTATTAATCTAAATTAAATAGTTCCTTATTTATTACAATAAATAGCAGCCATACAGTTGGCTTGCTGGATAATATTTCTATCATGTTATTATTTATATTATTGGGTGATTTACACTCAGACCGCCTGATGTTTATCGTAATTACAGAAAACTCTCTGTAATTTCAAAAATTACAAGGACACCCCTTATAAGGTTTTTTTTTTTGTAAATATTTTTACAAATTGTATGGGGTGTCCTTGTAAGACTTGTTGAATCACATGAAATCTCTTTGTAGTTTCTGAAATATCAGGAAATTCTTTGTAATAAGACTAAACCTCATGGATCTGAGTGTGCATCACCGTTTATTATTTGCAATTCTATATCTGAGTGATTTTACTCATGAAACATTTATCAAGAGTTTTGAATTAAACCAATCAATATATTTTTTATTGACTATTATAAAACAAGTATACGTACTTCAATAAATAATTTTTTACCAAACTAAAACAATAATATATAGAACTTCTCACTATTCTATTACATCTCCGGGCATTTGGTCTAGTGGTATGAATTTCGCTTTGGGTGCGAGAGTTCCCGAGTTCTATTCTCGATCGGTATGCCCCTTATTTCTCTCTTTCAATAAATTAATTATTTTTACCCGGTTTTCTGCTACATTAACACCATTTTTTTTCATTAACAAAAAAAAAAAAAAAAAACACCAGTTGTTATTACTCTTCTTCTTACTCGAACATACAAAACCCCAAAATAAAATGATTCAAAATTTGAAAATACAATTTCCAATTTGCAATAAAATTGATCATTGAAGGCTAAGTGTTAATTAATTAACCCATCAATTTATTTAAAGCAAAACGAATCGTATAGGAAAGGAAAGAATGGGTGGGGGGGGGGGGGGGTGGGGGGGGGGGGGGGTGGGGGGGGGGGGGGGTGGGGGGGGGGGGGGGTGGGGGGGGGGGGGGGTGGGGGGGGGGGGGGGTGGGGGGGGGGGGGGGTGGGGGGGGGGGGGGGTGGGGGGGGGGGGGGGTGGGGGGGGGGGGGGGTGGGGGGGGGGGGGGGTGGGGGGGGGGGGGGGTGGGGGGGGGGGGGGGTGGGGGGGGGGGGGGGTGGGGGGGGGGGGGGGTGGGGGGGGGGGGGGGTGGGGGGGGGGGGGGGTGGGGGGGGGGGGGGGTGGGGGGGGGGGGGGGTGGGGGGGGGGGGGGGTGGGGGGGGGGGGGGGTGGGGGGGGGGGGGGGTGGGGGGGGGGGGGGGTGGGGGGGGGGGGGGGTGGGGGGGGGGGGGGGTGGGGGGGGGGGGGGGTGGGGGGGGGGGGGGGTGGGGGGGGGGGGGGGTGGGGGGGGGGGGGGGTTGGAGGGGGGGGGGGGGGGGGGGGGGGGGGTACCAAATGTGTCATAATTTGTTAAAGCTCTGTACCAAATGTGTTGGACCCATAAAGCTCAATACCAAAAGTGAGAATTGACCTATAACTCTATACCAAAAATGCAATTCTCTCTTTAAATTTGAATAAAATGAAGCAGTTTACCCTTTTGCATTGTTTTTATAAGGAAAAGTTTACCCACATGTGTTATGATAAATGTGACAATTTACCCCTCTATGCTACAAAATATTTTTCATTCCCACTTTCTATTTCGGCAAGTGAGTTACACTCTCCGATTTCAAAGGGTAAATTGTTTTTTTAAATTTTTGTATAGGTGGTAGGGTGCTATTTTTCCAAGTCATAGAGGGGTAAATTACTCCTTTTCAAATCAGAGTAGGATAAATTGAATATCATGCATTTCATATAGGGTAAATTGCCATTAACTTTGGAGAAAAATTGGGTTTGGTATCAAAGTTGCAATGAAAACATGCCATGTGGTACCAAATTCGCATTTTTCGTGTCCAGTGGTACCAAAGTTGCAAGTTAGTCTATCCGATTGTACCAAAAAAAAAAAATTCTCGAATTTTTTTTTTATAGTTAAAAGAGTTGCTTAAATTCTCTCATAAATCGAGTCAAACAATTAGTTATGATTCATTTAGAGCATAAGATTCCATACTCGAAAGTTGTGCTATTTCATGAGCTACTCTAATTTCTTCTCGCTGCAAGTGTTGGATAGGAAAGGACTCAAAGGTTGAGGCTATCAACTTCGTGTCCTCAATAATCAATTCATAGTCTGCTATAAATTCCGAAGAACACGTCACCGCCCTGACCATAACACTCGAATATCCTTCCACTATCACTTTATTCCAGTGTCTTTCATTTGTAATATTTAAATGTTTAATTTACATCCATGTAATTTTTAAACACATATACTTTATTTCTCTATATTCTTTTCAAAAACTCACAATGTCCCTTGCATTGTTTTATATGGACAAGCCCACCTTTATTATTTTATATGTATTTGCTTACTCCCTTGTGTTATTATATATCACCCCATCTCTATGTTATTTTATGTGGAAAATGATAGTTTTGTCTTTTGATACAACACTTTTCACTTTTCCATTCAATTTCGGACAAGTGAGTTACATTTTCTAACGGAATGAGGTAAAATTGATTATTAAAATTTTCACAGTGGAGATATCTATATATATATATATATATATATATATATAAACATCATTAATGGTGCTCCTTATCAATAATTTTTTGCAGAATTCTTTGTTTTACTTTGGTTATTTTTAGGTAGTCCAAGGTGAACTAAAGTGCCAAAACAATTTTGTGAGAGATATGAGGGACTAAATTGATACAAAATAATTTTAGAAGGACTAAGTTGTTACATTATAAGTAATATACCCCTTGTAAATGACCAAGTGAAACAAATAAGGCCATTCCTATATATATATATATATATATATATATATATATATATGTATAAGCATCATTAATGGTGCTCCTTATCAATAATTTTTTACAGAATGGTTATTTTCAGGTAGTCTAAAGTGAACTAAAGTGCCAAAACAGTTTTATGAGAGATATAAAGGACTAAATTGATACAAAATAACTTTAGAGGGACTAAGCTGTTACATTATATATAAAATACCCCTTGTAAATGACCAAAGTGAAACAAATAAGACCATCCCAATGGAGAGGCAGGGTTTGCGTGAGGATCAGGCTTGGAGGGAGAAATGGTCTCCAGCGGCGAGGCGAGGAGGCACGGACTGGGGAATGAATTTTGAAAGAACCATAACTTACTACAAAAAATATTAAGGAGTATTACTTTTATTTTTCTTGCTCCTTTTAGATCTAATATGAAATATTAGGAGTTAAAAGATATTTTTCAGACATCTTTATATCTATACCCTTCAAAATATTAATTAAAAATTAGTAATATCTAAATCATTACCATCCAAATAGATAACTTCGACAAAAGTAATTCAATTTTAGAAGAAAACAAAAACAAATACATTAGTATATGACTCATTAAATTCAAATAGTTTGTTTGTCTCGCATTTTCGAAAATATTTTCACGTTTGAGAAAAGCTTAGACAAACAAGATTTTTCAAAACTACTCTCCAAAAAGTCAAATAAACGACAATTTTATTATCTATAAAAAAACCTACAAAAAAATTCCTTAATTTGACATAAAATAATATTTATCTTACACAACTAATCTCACGTAAAAAATATATCATAATTTGACATAAATTATTACACATCGTACATATATATTTTAAACTCTTCCAAGAAAACTTACACATACTTTATTTTTTAAACCAACAAATAACATTACGTAAATCGATATTTAATCACATACCTACAATACCCAAACTATTCACCCAAACATCAAATAAACAACCCCTCTATCTTTTCCAATTGTGATGGGGATAGTGTTTTCAAAATCAAATAGGACCGATCGGTTCATCTGGTTTGACCCAGTCCGGCCCGGTTGACTCTAAAAACAACTTACTTATTAGTCAATATGGACCCGTCACGAAACCGGTAAAAACTTTCCTATTACCTTCTCCATTGCGCAGCCCTTCTTTTTCTTCACATAGCAATCATTAAAAACTAAATTGTGTGTTGAGAGATAAATTTCCAAAGTCGTTTGGGGCTTCTTCAATCTGTCTCCAATCGAGTCTTCTCTCGTCAAATTTCAGGTAATTTTTAATTTTTTTCTAGAATATAGAAGTTTTATCGTTTATTCTTTCTTTCAACTAGTATCGAATTTACATGCTCCAATTTTGAAATAATGAAGTTTTGGGTTAAGCATAAAATTAGTTGATTTAAATAACTCTGTGGAATATTGATTTAAATTCCAGTTTTTACTATTTCAAGGTATTTGTGAGCATTGAATTATTTGTGTTTACAGTAAGGCTTTCTGAATTTTTTTTTAGTGCTTGAGGAAATAAAACCCTGCAGTATATTGAACAATTGGTAAATATTTGGATGCCATATTGAAATGTTTTTGGATTGTCTTCACGGCTTCAATTTTTTAAGGACACCAAATTTAAGGTTTGAATATAACTAGCAAATTTGAAGATCGATTATTGGATTGAAGATGCTTTTTAAAAGTCAGGTTCTTAACAACTTTGTTTGCCCAAACTAATGTTGCTTTCTTAGCAAATTTTGATTTTCCATTATCTATCTGCGATTTCGTAGGTATGTTTGGATATGCTCTAGTGGATAGATTTTGGGATAAGAGTTAGATTTTATGAGTTTCATCATTTTACTTTAATTATATGGATATTTTTGGACACTTAAATTATTATATTCCTTCAATACATCTCATATTTTCTCGAATTACATAGTTGGAAAATAAGCAAACATGGCAGCCATTAGCTCCCAATGTTTTCTCCCGGAGGATCTTATAACTGAGATCTTATTGAGGTTGCCTGTGAAATCACTGTTGGAGTTCATATCTGTTTGCAAGCAATGGCATGCTATCATCAAAAGCCCAAGTTTCATAAGCAGGCATTTCCGTCATGAGAGCAACTGTACCCGTCTTCTTGTTTATGGGCACTGGCGTGTGTCTGGAAATGATCGAGTTAGTCGGATAGTTGCTTTTGAGTTGTTTGAAGATGAGACACTAGAAAGATACGAAGAGCTAGATCATCTAAAACTGCCTGTGTCAATTGTTGAACTTTGTGGTCCTTGCAATGGCGTATTTTGTGTCCTTAGTTTTGGCTTAAAACTAGCTCTGTGGAACCCAGCAACCAGAAGAATGAGGCCACTTCCTTCTCCTTCAAAAGAATATGCGGTTGACGAAATCGGTTTTGGTGTAGACTTTTTGACTAATGAATTCAAGATAGTTTTAATTCAAGGTGACGGCTGTACTTTTGGTCACCTAGATCCTAATTATGTCGTATATACATCAAGTAACGATTCTTGGAAATGGTATAAAGATGAAGCCCTTCTTGATCGCGACTCTTGCTTGTCCAAAACTCGATTTCGCACTACATTCTTGAATGGATTTTGTTATTGGAAGAAATACAATATGAAGACCTTTAATACTATTATCCTTGCATTTGATATGCATAATGAATTCTTCCAAGAAATCGAGATGCCGGAAATTGTCGGATCTAGAAGGGAGATAATGCTTGATTTATATAATGACTCTCTAGCCTTGTTCTCTTATGATGAGAGGGCTGATGATGTGACGGCTTATGACAAATATATTGACATATGGGTGAT